CCAGAGGTCCGTACTTAACTTGAAACTCTTCTTAACCTGAAGCACCACTTTAGCTAATGGGGCCTCCTGCTGCCGCCGCGCCGCCGGAGCACAATTTCTGTTCACGTCCTGAAGCAAAGTTCTTAACCTGAAGCACTATTTCTGGGTTAGCGGAGTCTGTAACCTGAAGCGTATGTAACCTGAGGTACCACTGTAGGTTCTTAAATTTCAACAAACGTCATCAAACCTTGGCGTGGCTAAGCCCAGTTCTAATGCCCAATGTACTGTGCAGTGGGGGCCTGCAAATATTGCACAAGAGCCTTGACCAATTCATCCATTGAGAAGCTATTATGATACTAGCATCATGCATTATACATGAGAAGCCCGGTGAAAGTTCGCCCGAGGTCAGTTGAAAAGCTACATTCATGCAGTTTTACACTTCGGGACAATTCACACCAACTCTCACTACTTTCTGTGTTTCCTCCACCTTTAAAAAACAACAACACTTTTTTCTTTTTAAATATGCTCCAATGTGATTCTTTTGCATTGCTAGATGTTTCAAATGCGCATTTGTGTAACGTATGCACACAGAGTCAGCCTATTTGTCCATCTAGCTCAGTAATGTTATTCTAGCAGCAGTTCTCCAGGGAGTTGGAGCGAAGAAAGGTCTTCCATATCACCTGCTACCCGATTCTTCTTTTGTTTGTTTCGAGATGCCTGGGATTAAATTTGGGACTTGTTTCTGCATGCAGAGCATGTACTCTTACCACTGCTGAGTTACAGCTCCTCCCATCCTATAAGGCTCCATTTGCACCGTACATTTAAAGCACTACTGTACTACTTGCCCTTGAAGCTGACCCAGAGACTCCAGCGGGTGCAAAATGCCGCCGCGAAGCTCCTTACGGGGTCTCTGCCATGGGAGCATATTCACCCAGTGCTTTACCAACTGCACTGGCTCCTGGTGGAGTACAGGGTCAGGTTTAAGGTGCTGGTTTTGACCTTTAAAGCCCTATGCGGCCTAGGGCCCACGTACCTACGGGACCACCTCTCCTGGTATGCCCCATTGAGGACCTTAAGGTCCACAAGTGACAACATTTTGGAGGTCGCAAGGTGGTTAGATTGGTCTCAACTAGGGCCAGGGCCTTTTCAGCACTGGCCCCTACTTGGTGGAAGGCTCTGTCACAAGAGACTAGGGCCCTGCGGGACTTGACATCTTTCCGCAGGGCCTGCAAGACAGAGCTGTTCTGCCTGGCCTTTGGTTTGGACTCAGTCTGACCCTTACGTTTCCCTCCCCTTATGGTCTTGATTTATCGGCTACTTTAAAATGCGGCTGCATTTTAAATTGCATTTTAACCTGTATTTTAAATTGGGTTCCCCCCCCTTCCTCTCTATTATGTTTTTACTGTGATTTACTGTGATTTTTTTGGTGTTAGCCACCCTGAGCCCGGCTCTGGCTGGGGAGGGCGGGGTATAAATAAAAATTATTATTTATTATTATTATTACTTGAAGCAGGCATGAAGTCCTGTAAAGAACCTGGGGAAGTGTAGTTTGCTAAGGGTGCTGAGAGTTGGTGGGGGGGCTCATACTCTCCTCAAAGAGCTACAATTACCAGAGTGGTCTAACAATCATTCCCTCTTCCCAGGGAATTCTGAGAGTTGTAGCTCTCTGAGGGGACCTGTAAGCATTCCCAGGAATCTTTGGCCGAAGCCATGACTCTTTAAAGTGGAATGGTTCTGCTTTAAATGTATAGTGCAGATGGAGCCTAAGTCATGGTAGGGAAGAAGTCAGGGCTCATTATTCCAGGCTGAAGTTCTGCTCACTGCACACCATACAGAGAATTATTTAAATTATCAAATTATTCTTACTACATTTCCACATCGCTCTGTGAATCTTCATTTAACGTTCCCATTAAAACTTCATCAGCTCGTGTTTTTTCTAATCATCCGCTAATTTCTCTTAAAAGGGACATGGGTGGCGCTGTGGGTTAAACCACAGAGCCTAGGACTTGCCGATCAGAAGGTCAGCGGTTCGAATCCCCGTGACGGGGTGAGCTCCCGTTGCTTGGTCTTTGCTCCTGCCAACCTAGCAGTTCGAAAGCACATCAAAGTGCAAGTAGATAAATAGGTACTACTCCAGCAGCAAGGTAAACGGTGTTTCTGTGCGCTGCTCTGGTTCACCAGAAGTGGCTTAGTCATGCTGGCCACATGACCTGGAAGCTGTACGCCGGCTCCCTCGGCCAATAAAGCGAGATGAGCGCTGCAACCCCAGAGTCGGTTACGACTGGACCTAATGGTCAGGGGTCCCTTTACCTTAATTTCTCTTAATATACACATTTAATGATTCAATTTTGCCCAAGATAGACATTTCTACAAAGCAGTTTTACCTAACAGAATGCATTTTGTATGTTAGTGGAAATAACATACAAAATCCATTATATATGGAGAAAGAATTATTATGCACACTTTGCCATAGTATGTTTGTTTCTGTTGTCATCTTCTTCGGCGGTCACTCGTAGCCGAGTAAGATTGTCTTCCATGAATGTGGTCTTAACAGTGAGTCTGTAAGTGACCGTAGAGGCCAATTCTGAATCCACACATCCACAGTGGGGACATAGGTTTCTAGGTGGGAGTTTATCATGGTGAGGATTTGCGAAACGTGCCTTCCTCTTAGCTCATTCCTCCCTTTCACCCTGAGTTCATGCTTCTTCATAATGCCTTCTGTAAAGGCTGTTCTCCAATTGGAGCGCTCGTGTTTGTTTCTGCATTCATTGCTCAGCTGGTGAACTTCATAGCAAAATTCATTGAAGAGTGAATTTCAAGGATTGGCTGTATTTCAGTTCTCAAATTGCTTTGGAAAGTGCAAATTATGTAGGTTTGCCTCCCAGTGTGAACTGAATCTAAGTTATCTTTCATCTCTAGGCAAAAGGTAGATCGCTGTAGTAGTAGACGGGAAAATCCTGCCTTCCAAATATTTAACAATACCAGCAAAAACTACTGCCCAGCTACCCTCAATTGAACTGCTGAACAGAAGAAAGCATGGGAATGGATTTTTATGTGAAAGGACTGGCCTGTGTTCAGTTCTGAAACTCAGAACAGATTCCTGAGCTCTGAATTCTTTAATTCTGAATATCTTTTGCACCAGGGTCTGCTTGGCGAATCTTGGGGCTGTAGTATAAAAGAAAGTAGATCCCGTAAGCCTGACGTCAGCTGACCCTTGCTGTGTAGGTCTGGAAACGACTTAAGCTGCTTACGTCTCACAGAAGGCAATGGGATTTAAGCAGTCAGTCTGGGAAATTGCAGCCTTTGTATTATCAGATGTAAGGATGCCCAAATCTCTTCTTGCATATGCCCAAATTGGCTTCTTCGTAAACGTGAGCACTGCACACATTAATGCATCCCTTCTTGTCTGTCCGTATCTGTCTATTGACCTTCATTATTCCTAGCTCATACACTGGCTGCACTCTGACCTTATATTGTTATGCGAATGAGCCAGGGTTAAGCCTTGCCCCTATACGCTCCCCGTTTCCTCCTCCAGCTCTGTTTTTAACTAACCACAGTTTAGTATCAAGTCTGAACCCAGAAGCTTTACTCGAAGGAGCCAACTTCAAACCTTGGTTTATCCAGCTGGCTTGTTTCAATACACTGTGGCAATATTAACCCAAATTTAGGGCAATTGACTATGCCTGGCTCACCCGACTTATTGTTTGCCTACCTTCAGATCTGACTGGGTAGATAAGTTCTCCCTGTCCGCTTTATCTACGCCATGCCAAATTGTATAGACCTCTATCCCCTCCCTTGCACCTTTTTCAAAACTAAAAAGCTCTAAATGTCATAACCTGTCTTCCAACCCCTTGACCATTTTGTTTCCCCGCTTCTGAATTACTACTTCACACTGAAAGCTGGATGGGGATGGGGGGGTGAATCACACTTGTGAATGCTCCCTGTGTAAAATATTCCCTGCAAGTATAAATCTAGCACATTGCAGGGAGAGGTTGTAGGCCAGTCTGATCCCTTCTGAGCTACTTTTCTACTTGCAGGAATTTTGTGGGTTGTTTTTTTACATAGAGAAACATTCAAAATTTTAACTGGAGTGTATTTATTGAGACCCACTTGCAGTTAGAAATGTTATATAATCACCCCCACCTTCTGCATGTGTATCTGACACTTCAGTCTTCATGGATTTGTAAAGAGATAAAAACCCTATCTTCTAAGCCGCATAATGATGGGGTGAGGGACTTTTCTGTTCTTCCCACAGTGACTGCTTATACCACTTCAGTAAGGTGTCACTTCTGATTTGGTGCTAACTACGGTTATTAACTCAGGGATGGTCATGCAGCTTGGGTTTAGAATGCCACTTGCTAACCTAGGAGAAGCCAAAATCCTGCCTTCCAGATGTCTCTTGGACTACAGCGCCCATCTGGCCCAGCCAGCATGAGCAGTGGTCAGGGATTTGAAGTCAAAAACATCCTGTTCGCCACCCCAAATGAAATCAGGAAGAGTCATCAGCCTGCCTTTCAGCAATGTGTGTTTAAGTACAAAAGAAAAGATGTTACCGTGCTACCTTCGTTGTCAAACTTAATCCGTTCCAGGAGTCCATTCGACTCCCAGAACCCTTCAAAAACCAAGGCGCGGCTTCCGATTGGCTGCAGGAGCTTCCTGCACTCAAGTGGAAGCCGCGTCGGACGTTCAGCTTCCGAAAAAACGTTCTCAAACCGGAACACTCACTTCCGGGTTTGCGGCGTTCAGGAGCCGATTTGTTCAGAAGCCAAGCCGTTTGAGTACCAAGGTACCACTGTAGTTCCTTGAGGCTTGGGCACAAGCAAAATGGCTGGGATTTTAAATTTCACTTTCCCATTCCACCGAACTGGGTTTCCACCTAAAAAAAATTGGGAGTTCATTTGCCTGGATAAATGTTTATCTCTTAAAAAAAAAAAAACTTTTTCATGTGCACACATGTACACTTCCAAATTCAAAAAAGAAAAGGTTAAGATATAAAAAACCTCTCTCTTTCTCTTTTGTAGGTCACGAACCTGGACTTGTGCAGCTGGTGAACTATTATAGAGGAGCTGATAAGCTTTGCCGCAAAGCTTCTTTAGTGAAGTAGGTTTGGCTCTTTATTTGCTTTCTTGTAACTGTGGGTTATAAGGGACCCTGTGCAGCACGTTTTTGTCATTTTTTTCTGAAGTTACATGGGAGGGGGCAGAAAGATGCAGGATACTTGGGGGGGGCACGCGAGGGGAGGAGAGGTCCCATTGTGCAAGAAGAAGTCCTTGCACAGTTCTGCCACAGACATGAATCTTGCCCTGAGGATATTTACACCCTTGACATTTGTATTCTAAAAAACAATGTTTATAATCATTGTTCCTTACTGTATGTTATGAGCCTTCCTTAAAAACCCATACCTTTTCTTGTGAAGGCGAAATAAATTACAGTGGTACCTCGGGTTAAGAACTTAATTCGTTCCAGAGGTCCGTTCTTAACCTGAAACTGTTCTTAACCTAAAGCACCACTTTTAGCTAATGGGGCCTCCTGCTGCTGCCACACCGCCAGAGCACGATTTCTGTTCTTATCCTGAAGCAAAGTTCTTAACCCGAGGTAATATTTCTGGGTTAGCGGAGTCTGTAACCTGAAGCGTATGTAACCTGAAGCGTATGTAACCCGAGGTACCACTGTACTGGGCCATTCTGCCATAGTTGTATGTCCTTTTCGAGATACATCTCTTGATAGATATGCAAAATGTAGTATAAACAACAAAGAGATTTGTGGCACCTTAAAGACTATGGCTTGCACCCCGTAATTGTACAGTCAGTGCAAGGCTTTTCTCTTGTGTAGTGGGACTTCCTCCACTTACGCACGCCCTAAGTCTGTTCTGTTCTGCGTTTTCCCCAAATCCCATGGAGCAGATTCGGGGAAGGGAGGAAAGTCCCTTTGTGCAAGAAAATCCTTGTGCTTATGGGACATGAGAGCTGCCCTCAACAAATTTATTACTTCGTAAGCCTCAGTGAACTCAAGCTCACCCCTCTCCCTTTTTGCTGTTTCCTCTTAATAGCAACAAATCGCACCTTTTCCCCTGCAGCAGACCCCGCAATTTGTTCCTTTCAACTTGTAAGAATATGAAACACAAAGCGTTCTTTGAAATAATAAATGGTACTAGGACTGGAAACCTTCCTTTGGCGATCCGCTTTCAGACCTAGCGTGATTTCCATGATTCCATGATTTCTGTGCGAAAGGTGCTTGAGGGCTTGTTTTGATGTGGTCTAAACCACTGAGCCTCTTGGGCTTGTCGATCAGAAGGTCGGCAGTTCAAATCTGCGCAACAGGGTGAGCTCCCGTTGCGCTGTCCCAGCTCCTGCCAGCCTAGCAGCTCGAAAGCACGCCAGTGCAAGTAGATAAATAAGTACCACTGTGGCGGGAAGGTGAACGGCGTTTCCGTGCGCTCTGGTTTCTGTCACGGTGTCCCGTTGTGCCAGAAGCGGTTTAGTCCTGCTGGCCACATGACCCAGAAAGCTGTCTGTGGACAAACGCCGGCTCCCTCAGCCTGTAAAGCAAGATGAGCGCTGCAACCCCATAGTCGCCTTTCACTGGACTTAACCGCCGGGGGGTCCTTTACCTTTATATAGTGGCATAATGTAGGCCTTTTCATGCTGCCTTTATTTGCATATGGAGATAAGCCTTGAGGCTGCGTGACTCGTTAATTTCAAATGAGCCTTCCTTAAAAACCTTGACCTTTTCTTGTGAAGGCGAAATAAATTACTGGGCGATTCTGCCATAGTTGTGTGTCCTTTTCAAGATACATCTCTTGATTGACCTTTTGCAAAATTATATTCCGCTTGCCCTTTAGTGCTAGAAATCAAGCTGGAATTAACTAGAGTGTCTTCTTCTACAACTGCATGTCAGTTTAACTCAAGGACTAAAACTGATCTTAATCCTCCTAGATTTTGACCCAAACCACCTCAGTAAAAATTCTCACCAATTATCCTGCCAGGGTTCAGAAAACCGTGAAAATTACCCTGCACTCAGTTCTCATCTGTGGCTCCTACAGGTGAAACTCGGAAAATTAGAATATTGTGGAAAAGTTCATTTATTTCAGTAATTCAACTTAAAAGGTGAAACTAATATATGAAATAGACTCACGACGTGCAAAGCGAGATATGTCAAGCCTTTATTTGTTATGATTGTGATGATTATGGCGTACAGCTGATGAAAACTCCAAATTAACAATCTCAGAAAATTAGAATATTAAATGAAATCAGAAGCTGTCAGCATGTGACAGTGGCCACATCCTGGGAAATGGCTTCAACAGGCCGGCCAAACCAGGTGAGGGGAGCCGATGGGTCTCAAACCCTCAGTGAGTTAGGGGCTTCCCCTGCATGCGAAGACAGGCTCTGGTGGATTGAGCGGACGAGACCAATAGTGAGTCCAAGGATCAAGAAGGCGGTTTCTGCATGTGCTGTAGAAGGAAGTGAAAGGCACATGGGACTCTTCAGCCTGGAAAGGTAGCCCATATAGGGATATCTTTAGGAGAAGAAGAGGCTACGGAGTACCTCCAAATTTTACAGCAGAGAGATATTGAAGATAACGACTTGCCCCTTTCAGGAAGCCTTCTAAGTGGAGATCTCTCCCTCGCCCCCATTCAGTATCTGCGGTTGCTCGAGAGTAACCAGGCCAGACTCCGACCTGTCTTTTACAGGCTTTATTTTGGTGCAAGCTATTTACAGTGAGGGACGCGGGTGGCGCTGTGGGTAAAAGCCTCAGCGCCTAGGGCTTGCCGATCGAAAGGTCGGCGGTTCGAATCCCCGTGGCGGGGTGCGCTCCCGTTGCTCGGTCCCAGCGCCTGCCAACCTAGCAGTTCGAAAGCACCTTCGGGTGCAAGTAGATAAATAGGGACCGCTTACTAGCAGGAAGGTAAATGGCGTTCTGTGTGCTGCGCTGGCTCGCCAGATGCAGCTTGTCACGCTGGCCACGTGACCCGGAAGTGTCTCCGGACAGCGCTGGCCCCCGGCCTCTTAAGTGAGATGGGCACACAACCCTAGAGTCTGTCAAGACTGGCCCCTACGGGCAGGGGTATCTTTACCTTTTACTTATTTACAGTGAAGAGCGTCCTAAGTTCATGTCTGGCTCAATCGCTAGCAGAATCCGGGAGTGGTCTGTTTTTGTACCTCCCCCAACGTAAAAGTTTCGTTACCCCCAGCCGTTTCCGCCCCTCCCTGCGGCTCAGACTACTGAGCAGGATGGGCGATGGCAAGAGCGTGCTTCCCTCCTCTCCGGCTTGCTCAGGAGTGGTGCTACGGCTTTTACTAGCATCCTCTGGTCCTTGCACCTCTGCTCCACTAGAGGTGGGGCTTTCCTCCTCACCGGAAGAGGAACTGCTTCGCAAGATTTTCGGAGGCTCCCTGTAACGCAACTGCCCTTCTATCTCTCGCCTCTGAGCCAATGGCAGTTCCCTGACAGATATAAATGTTTATGTGTCTATATAAATGGTTTTTTAATATGCCATGCTTTTGAATTGTGTTTATATATGCAGTTGTAGTGTGAAACTGTTTTGAACTGGTTCGTAAATGAACTAAATGGTGGTGGTCGTGATGATTTGAAAGGTCTTTCAACTCCAGCGTGCCCTATGGAGGGGAAAAACCCAACTCAAATTAAATCCTTGTCTCTTTCTTTAGACTAATCAAGACAAGTCCTGAATTAGCAGAATCTTGCACATGGTTCCCGGAGTCGTATGTGATTTACCCAACTAATCTCAAGACTCCAGTGGCTCCAGCACAGAATGGGACCCATCATTTGATAAACAACCCAAGAACGGATGAAAGGGAAGTTTTCCTGGCATCCTATCAGAAGAGGAAAGAAAGCGGAGAGGGAAGTGTGTGGATAGCCAAATCTTCGGCGGGGGCCAAAGGTGAGCAAAGAGTCTCGAATTATTGAGATATTTATCCAATAGATGCTAGAGCAGTGTGACAACTAAGAGGCTGAGGCGCAAATCAAAAGAGCCACAGACCCACTCACAGTCTCAGTGTCTTACAGCAAAGATGTAGTAATATTATGTGCTTTTTTAAAAAAAAAGTATGTCTCTTTTGTTTGTGTGTGTGTAATTTTTATGTTTTCTATTTTAGAATTTAAAATATTAATTAACCCTAAAATGTCATTGACTTCCCCTTTTCCATGGTTTAATTTGCATATCATAAATCCCTGCATATTTTACATAAACTAAACCATTCCGTAATCCATTATTACTTCCATCAAAACTTTTTTACACTGTTGAATTTATCTTAATGCTGCCAACATTTTCAAGTGTACACAGTCTCCCCCCATATATTCAATAAACATTTTCCAGTCTTCTTGTTCTCTTATTCTATACGTTAGGCCCGCAAGCTGCGCATATTCCACCAGTTTAAGTTGCCATTCTTCTTTGGTTGGGACCTCACTCTTTTTCCATTTTGGGGCTAATGAAACACGGGCCGCAGTAGTGGCATACATAAATAGGCTTTTTTGACACCTGGGAATTTCCATTGGAATTTTCTCCAATGAAAAGGACACCGGGTTTTTTTGGGAAAGTACTTTTAAACATTCCCCCCCCCCAATTCATTATAAATCATTTCCCAATACTCTTTTACCCTTTTACAGGTCTACCACATACGAAGGAACATACCCTCAACCCCATTGCACCTCCAACACTTATCTGATTCCGTCTTATACATGTATAAGATTTATAAAAAAATATGTTTCTACCCTGCTTTTTAGCCAAAATGGCTCCCAGAACGGCTTGCAAAGATGAGCAGTAATATCCCTCTTTCCCACAGGCTTACAATCTAAAAGGGATGGTACACAATGGAAAAGGGTTGGAGGGGATGGAGAAGTCATTGTACTTTTTATCTTATCACTTCTTTGTTGAGGTGGAGGCTTGTACTCCCTGTCCAACTTTTTCGCTTTCGTCTTTTCCTCCTGGTTAGGTGAAGGAATTCTTATTTCTTCGGAGGCTACGGAACTTCTGGACTTCATAGATAATCAAGGACAAGTGCATGTGATTCAGAAATACCTTGAGAAGCCTATGCTTTTAGAACCAGGTCATCGCAAATTTGATATTAGGTAAGCTATTTTCATATTGATATTTCAGCTCAGTGAAGGTTTGGTGTGAAAGGCTGGTCATTAAATCTGATTCTTCTGAACTGAAAATTTTCTTAATGGTTTTAAAAACACTGCCTCTATATTTTTTCCACCTTCTAGAAGCTGGGTGCTAGTGGATCACCAGTATAATATCTACCTCTACAGAGAAGGTGTTCTACGGACCTCTTCCGAACCTTACAATAGTGCTAATTTCCTAGACAAAACCTGCCATTTGACCAATCACTGCATACAGAAGGAATATTCAAAGAACTATGGGAGATATGAAGAAGGGAATGAGATGTTTTTTGAGGAGTTTAATCAGTATCTGATGAGCGCTTTGAACATTACTCTGGAAAACACAATCTTATTGCAAGTCAAAAATATAATAAGGTAACGTGTTTTACATTTGTTAACAACTGTTCCCTGAGGATTCTTCCAAGACAAAGGTTACCATTATTAATCAATTTATGATTGATTGGGGTTTTTTTCACGGATGCTTTTAGAATTAGGGTATTGTGTTAATTTGTTGTACACTCATACCTTGGATCCCAAACACCCTGGAACTTGGACGTTTTGGCTCCTGAACGTCACAAACCCAGAAGTGATTGTTCCGGTTTGTGAACGTTCTTTTGGAACTCGAACATCCGACGGGGCTTACGTGGCTTCTGATTGGCTGCAGGCTGCAGCCAATCAGAAGCAGCAATTTGGTTTTTGAACATTCCAGAAGTCGAACGGACTTCTGGAACGGATTCCGTTCAACTTCCAAGGTTGTACTTTAATGTCACTGTTAGTCCCTAGAAGAACACAAGAACTTAAGAAGGGTTTGCTGGATCAGGCCAATTTTGTGATGGCCCAAGGACATCATCTGATTGAGTCAAACTCAGCCCGTGAGGCTCATCCTGCAAAGGACTCTACCCAAAAACGGTTCTTGGGTGAAGGGCAGTATAGAAATTTAATAAATAATAATGAAATAATAAAAGCGCCTATGGTCTACAGCACAGTTTGGCATTTACAAAGCACATATAAAGCACATATTTTAATTAATATTATTTCCCCCTGCTTTTATATAAACTCCTGTAGACCATAATTGCTGCCCGTACAATATATCTCTTTCTTTATGGCCAACAGTCCCAGCAGCGGATGTTACTATGCATTACAGTGGTACCTCGGGTTAAGTACTTAATTCGTTCCGGAGGTGCGTTCTTAACCTGAAACTGTTCTTAACCTGAAGCACCACTTTAGCTAATGGGGCCTCCTGCTGCTGCTGCACCGCCGGAGCACAATTTCTGTTCTCATCCTGAAGCAAAGTTCTTAACCCAAGGTACTATTTCTGGGTTAGCGAAGTATGTAACCTGAAGCGTATGTAACCTGAAGCGTATGTAACCCGAGGTCCCACTGTATTTGGTGTTTGTTAAAATTGGGGTGGTTTTAGCATATACAGTTTGACAAAGATTTGTCAGTGTGTTCGGACTGTTGTTTTATTTTCGATTTTGCTGTTCTGTAATTGGTGTGTGTGATATGTTTAATAATAATAATAATAATAATAATAGGTTCCCTGACCCTAGTGTAACAAATTAAACTTTTAATGACAGGCCACTGTGAAGAGTGAGTGGATTCTGCCATCTAGGCCAGAATAAAAGCAAATCAATGCTTTTATTTGCTGTCCTAGTCGTGAATACCCAGTGGTGGAATAAGCCCATTGAAATGAATGGATATGACTAACTTAGATGTATTCTGAGTGTCACCTTAATGCCCAGTCAGAGAGGCAGTTGCTTCCTACCTCAGCTTAACATAACTATTACATGGATAACAACCTAACATAATGCTTTGAGCTGGGGTGCCGAAATTCCAGGGGAGCAGAAAATACTATTTATGTACGTGACCACGGCTGTGCGGATGTTATTGGCCCAGAGATGGAAAGAAGATAAAGTCCCTACTAGAGAAGAATAGCAGATCGAGTTGATGGATTACGCTGAAATGACGGGAAGAATCAGAAATCAGGAAGACCAAATTTTTTAATAAGGAATGGGGGAAATTTATCATTTATCTTAAAAACCATTGTAAACAGTTAAAATTATTAGTAGGGTTGGAATAACACTTGTCGTTTAATAGTGAATTTTGGACACAATGGAGAGGTAAAAGATTTGGATTATTATAAAAGATTATAAAACAATAGGACCCACAAAGGGGAGGAGGGAAGTCCAGGAGATTTGGATAAAAAGGTAAAGGGACCCCTGACCATTAGGTCCAGTCGTGACCGACTCTGGGGTTGCGGCGCTCATCTCGCTTTATTGGCCGAGGGAGCCGGCGTACAGCTTCCAGGTCATGTGGCCAGCATGAACTCAGCCGCTTTTGGTGAATCAGAGCAGCGCACGGAAGCACTGTTTACCTTCCCGCCAGAGCGGTACCTATTTATCTGCTTGCACTTTGACGTGCTTTCGAACTGCTAGGTTGGCAGGAGCAGGGACCGAGCATTGGGAGCTCACCCTGTCGTGGGGATTTGAACCGCCGACCTTCTGATCGGCAAGTCCTAGGCTCTGTGGTTTAACCCACAGCGCCACCCACGTCCCTTGAATGTTGGATATGTGACTGTAAAACTTTAATCTGAAAAGCAAATAAATAAATTTATATAATAATAGTGATGATGATGATGATGATGATGATGATGATGCTTTGGGCTGATATCAGGCGTGCTCTGTCCTTTTTCCCCGCAGAAGCTGCCTTATGTGTATAGAACCCGCTATCAGCACCAAACACCTTCATTACCAGAGTTTCCAGCTCTTTGGCTTCGATTTCATGGTGGATGAAGACTTGAAGGTCTGGCTGATCGAAGTGAATGGTGCCCCTGCGTGTGCCCAGTAAGTTCTTGTCGCATGCTGGCATGCTTTTCCCGCATGTGGTTGAGCTGTGTCGCAGTATAGAATACCCTGTAAATTCCAGACCCTTGCTGTTTTGCATTTTTTTTGTGGGGAGATGGCGATCGTGGACCCACAAGCATTTTTCCCTCCCCCTGTAAAGCTGATGTAGGTGCTGGAGAGAGAGGTTTGGAAGAGAGAGTCTTACATTCTCGTGGCAGAGCTGTTGTTATTTTGGGTTTTTTTACTTACTTTTTTTTGAAATAATTTTTATTTGGTTTTACAAATATAAACTTATAACAGTACAACCACACACATCAACAGATTCCTCCGAATCTCTGGACTTCCCATCTTCTCCTCCATGGGTCCCATTATCAAACCTCTCCTGCTGCAATATGGTCCATATTTTATATAACTCCATTATCTCCATAGTACTTGCTACATTACAAGTGTTGCTGCAATCCTGCTAGTGTTTTCATCTGCTTACAGTCGTCTCAAAGATAAATTATAAATTTTCCCCATTCTTTGTTAAAGTTTTTTGTCGTCTTGGTTCCTGAGCTTTCCGGTCAATTTTGCCATTTCGGCATAGTCCAAAAGTTTAATTTGCCATTCTTCTCCAGTAGGAACTTCTCTTCTTTCCATCTCTGGGCTAGTAGCATCCGTACTGCTGTCATCGCATACATAAAAAGTCTTTTATTCTCCCTTGGAATATCAGCACCTACAATTCCAAATAGAAAACCCTCTGGTTGGTTGTTTTTTTTTTAAAAAAAAAAGTTAATTTAAACATTTTTTTTTCAATTCATTATACACTGATACCTCTGGATACGAATGGGATCTGTTCCGGAGCCCCATTCGCATCCTGAAGTAAACATAACACGCATCTGCGCATGCACGGGTCACGTTTCACTGCTTCCGCTCATGACATAATTTTGAGCATCTGCGCGAGTGGCGAAACCCGGAAGTAACGCGTTCCATTACTTCCGGGTCACTGCGGAGCATAACCCGAAAATACTTAACTTGAAGCTACTTCAACCCGAGGTATGACTGTATATCATTTCCCAGAATGCTTTTATTACCTTACAAGTCGTGGCAGAGTTGTTAGCACAATGGCGATCGCTCCAAGCACATTGAAACTTGGTTAGATTTTGCACACGTGCGCAAGGGTGCATCGCTGCCCAGGGAAGGCAGGTAAGATAGACGGGATCTGCCGAGAGAGCCACTTCCTAGCCTCTCTCAACAGTGCCATCCACACTGCACATATACATGTGGATTCCAGGAACCATAAGCGCCTGTACTTCATGTCTGTCCTGCTCTGCTATAATAGGGGAGGGAAGGTGGAGGCCAGAGAGGCAATGAACCCCAGCAGCCCTAAATCTTAATATTTGGAAATTAAATTGCCGAAGATATCAGCTGGTGCATGGAAAGCGTTACGCCGCTGTTTCTTTGTACCGCTTGCTAGCAATGCCAGATACTATTTGTGCATCTGTGCAAAACGACACATGAAGGGGAAACTGGGCTAGCAGTTAAAAAAAACAGGTGTCTTCCTGCATTCCTAGACCCTTGGCCAGCTGTGTGTTTTATATCCTTATGAGGGTGGCAGCGGCCTGTATTCGTGAGGGATCTTAGCTAGGATTCAGATTCCTGTTTCTCCCAGCTCCATAATATCAAAGGAGAAAGACTGTCTTCCGGCAGTAACGCTGAGGATTTATTTTGAGCCTTGGTTTAGGTTGAGACGAGTTATAAATAAATATTATTAGTCATAACACGACATTTCAACAATACAATGCAAACTGGCCTCTCAAACCCACAATATTCTTTCTAATCCCCCCCCCCATGTCTGCATTTGTTAGCCACACTGGTGATAGAACATTAAAGGTAAAGGTAAAGGTACCCCTGCCCGTACGGGCCAGTCTTGACAGACTCTAGGGTTGTGCGCCCATCTCACTCAAGAGGCCGGGGGCCAGCGCTGTCCGCAGACACTTCCAGGTCACGTGGCCAGAGTGACAAGCTGCATCTGGCGAGGCAGCACAACACACGGAACGCCGTTTACCTTCCCGCTGGTAAGCGGTCCCTATTTATCTACTTGCACCCGGAGGTGCTTTCGAACTGCTAGGTTGGCAGGCGCTGGGACCGAACGACAGGAGCGCACCCTGCCGTGGGGATTCGAACCGCCGACCTTTCGATCGGCAAGCCCTAGGCGCTGAGGCTTTTACCCACAGCGCCACCCGCGTCCCTCAGCACCACCCGTGTCCCTAGAACATTGCACTATAATAAATCAATTTCAGTTTTAGAGTGGTTTTTTTTAAAATGGATGGGTCTAGATAAAAGGGGTTTCAGTAGTCCTTTGCCGAGAGAGGAAATGATACGAAATCCGATGTTCTGAAGAATGCCACTGCTTTACGGTGCTATTCTGTCCATGCTTACTCAGGAGTATGTCCCATTTTGTTCAGGGGAGCGTACTCCTAGGTATGTGTACATACACTATGCTCAATCAACTTTTCTAATTCAAACTTGTCTCTTCTCATTTTTATTTTTTAGGAAACTTTACGCAGAACTATGCCAAGGTATAGTGGATGTAGCCATCTCTAGTGTCTTTCCTCTTAGTGACACACCACAGAAGCAGAGCCAGGAACCAATATTTATTAAGTTGTGATGATGATCACATTTTTTAAAAAAAACAACGTCCACCCAAAACACATGAGAGAACTGCGGCCTACGGATTTTGGGGGGGAAAGAGGAAGCTTGGATCGATCATTACACTTGCTCACCAGGCAGAAAGGATACAGAACGATGTCTCGGAAATTTAGGAGGGATGCCAAGTTTCCAAGAAAAGTCCAAAATGAACCAAAGCTGTCTCATCAACGCTGTGTGTGTGTGTATTTTGGAACACCTTTGCTTTTGAAAGGATTCTTGCAATGGAAGGAAATTCTGTAGGAGAACAGTGCAACAGTTCTGCTTTAACGTGAGCAAAAACAGGGACGTTTTGTTTTTCGCACCCCTCCAATGTAATAAGTTATTTTAGCAAAGCATTCTTCCAGGGATTCCATGGCTTGGAGGTTTTGTCAACTTGACATACTGTCATGTGGGTATTGTTTTGTTTTGTTTTGTTTTGTTTCCTTCACCTGCTGCAGTTCTAGTGCCTTAGCTATGTTCCCAATAAGTAACTTATTTTATTCTTACTTTGTTCTGTAGCTTTTCTTTTTAAAAAATTTGTGGGGTATAAACTGTTCCTTTAAAAACTGTTATATATATGTGTGTGTGTGTGTTGAGTTTTAAAAAAACCTGTGGTGTTTTTATTATTATTGAACATTACAACGTGCAGAAAACTAACCTGAAGGACTGCTATCTCCCTTTTGACTCCCACGCCAATAATGCAGGAGTGGGCATTGTTTGACTGTTGAGATGGCGCTGGACTACAATTCCCATCATCCTTAGCTGTTGGCCATTCTGATTGGTGCGGATGGGAGTCCAACATCACCTGAAGGTTCTGTCATCCCTGCTGTAATACAGGCCGGCACAACTCGTGACCTAAACAAGTCAAGGCAACCAGCCGTGTTCCTGTGGCTTGGCAGACCCTTGACAATCTCTCTCTGTTTGCAGACCCAGGCAGCTTTGAAATGAAAGGTTTGTTAAGACTGCAGTCTTATGTTCACTTACCTGTAAGGCTCATTGAGACTGATTTCTACGTGAACATGCAAAGCGTTGGGCTGTATGCCTCCGAGACGTTGCCGTGCATAGTTGATAATGGGCAGCATTTAGCTTGGTTGGCCAGAGGTTTTGCAGGCCATCCTTAATGTAGCTTCCATCCGTTATTCCTCAGGATCTGGTATTGCTTTTTTAAAAATAGCAAAAATGGCACTGAAACCATAGCACGTGTGTCCTAGCATTAGGACCTTTTCCCCCCAAAAACGTTCACATCATTTAGACTCCAGTCTTTGGCTGCAGAACCCTTTTCACCACCTTTTGTGTTTTAACTGTTTCCCCCCTTTGACTTTTACTCTTTTGGTTCGTTTTATTCATATTTCTTAACGAGGGGAGATCACTGGAAAGGAACATTGCCATCTTCTTCTGTTGCATTAAAAAACCCCATCCTTTTGCATATCTCTTCATCTTATTCTAAGGCTTCGGAGGTTCCAAAATACAGGCCACTGACCCCTTTCCTGTTTGACAGATGTTGTGGCTTGGTTCAGACGTCACAGCCAAACCACGGTTTGGTGGTTGTGAACCGACTTGGAAGTTCTTATGCTTCCTCCTTTCCCTCATGTTCCATGCCACCCTTTTGGTTTGCAGTAACTATAATTCTCCATGATTGCCCAGTGAGCAAACTATGGTCGCCACAGCCACTGGTTTGAGTCTAACCAGTATTGAAACAAACCATGGTTAGGAGGCATGCTATGGTTTGTGATAAAGCAGTTTTTGCCCAATTTGGACCTTATGGCAAATTAAGTCTACTGTGAACTAGGTGGGATGGAGGGAGCAAGCCCGTTTGCAACCGTGAAATAATTGCTCTCTGCCATTATTTCTCTGAAACAGTTCTGTATAGTTTAGAACTAGCAACAACATTGCATCCACAAGACCATCCCATAAAATAAATTATTTTAAGATTCAGTTTATTATATAAAGAAGCTGGCATTTGGAAGTTCTGGGTTCAACCATAAACATACTTACATGTAAATAAGGCTGAGTGCAATAGGGAAAAAAAAGATACTAGAACTTTGTTTTTAAGGTAGTCGCTATGGTCTCTTAGGAACCCAAGAGGTAGGCGAAATTAGATCTCGTGTATCATCTGCTGCACTTGTGGTATCCTCAGAATGCATAATAGGAGATTAGATGCTGCTTGAATACATACAACCTGGTCCTATACATATTTACTTAGAAATAAATTCTGCTAGTTTCAATGGAACTTGCTTCACGTTTTGAGAGCTTAGGATCAAAGCTTCAGCTTCAATATTCAAGAAAGCTTTGCAAAAATGTTTGAGCAAAGCGTGGTAAGCTATAAACTCTTAGGTCTTGTACTCAGACTCGTGCTTGAGATTGCTCAGCTTTGGGGTTCGGCTGTGATTGCACACAAAGCAAGCATTAACTGCTCTGCATCTATGACTCTTGTTGCCCTTGCAGACTTGGCTACAGAAGCATGCCTTCGGCATTTTATCAAACCAGATTAAGTTGCCTGACAAGTCATTAAAATGTTCGGGTGACAAATTTGTAAGTTCTTCAGTGGCGAAAAGGTGCTTCTGACATACTTAGGTTAATGTAGTGTATCCCCTTTGGAACTAAATGTAATTGCTCTGGCTTAGGTGGGGTCAACTTTTAACTAGCCCTTGTTCTTGGGGTTTAACAGCATCTTGATGACACTTACTGCTGCATTGTAAACATGCTGCCTTTGCAAATCTGCTTACTACAAGAGGCCAGACCGAGACAGTCCCCCGCTGCCTGCTATTCAGTTGGCAACTCTCACTGGATTTTGGATTGGACTGCATGCCATTTTAGACCATTGCTCCCTATCAGTGTGAGGCCATTGTTCCTATGGTAATATGGCCTCCCCTCTGAATGGAAAATGGCTCCCCAGGCAAAGATGGTGGAAAGTTTCTTCTGCTTCCCTAATATGGAAGAGGCACATACTGGCAGAACAGAGTCAAAACAGGTTCACATCCACCAAGGCAGAACATGCCATAACCCACTTCAGAAAGTATTGGCTAGAGGAGAGCTGTTGGCTCGGAAAGATGTGAAGGCCTCACAAAGGCTGGGTGGTCTGGTCCTCCGATTGACTGCACATTGCCTCCACTTGAAGGGTTATTTTCTGATTTTGCTTATGGAAGGAGAGGACACTGTGAATTGTGTTGGGCTGTGTCTTCAGAGTCTGATTAGTCTATCAAAGCAAGATCTTCTGGTCTAGAAGATCTGGAAGTGGAGGGATGATAAGTTCCCTAAAGGCACTTCCTCTTCATCCTTGTCTTCCTCTGAGCTCAAGGGCAGACTGAGCCCTGAGAACATTTGTCTCACCTGGTATTGTGTATTCTGGTTGACAGTGCCTTTCCACAGTCTCGGGCATGTATTCTAGCACTGAGCTATGGAGCTTCTCCTTTGCAGAAGCTGCTATGGGCTTTCTGTTTGCTGCAGAGAATTCCTTTTGGGTTGCAGAGTCAGTTCATGTAGGATGCTAGGCCCACACATTCTGAGTAGAGTAGAGAGCACACCTTGACACTCATCCAGTGCTCTCCTGTGGCAAATATTGCGGGAGAATCTTTGTATAGTGAAGAGTGGCATGCAAACTTCTTTTTGCAGAAGCTTGTCCGCCATGACTGATCATCTCATGGAGGAAAAAGGACCTCAACAAACCTAGTATTGCCCAAAACATTGCTCAAGAAACCACTGCTGTAAGGCACTGGGAATTTTTCAGATCTCAGATTAGACATTCAGCCACTCAGGTTTTAATAGTGAGGGGTGTATAAATATTGAATGGTTTTAGGATCATGGCATGATAAACTAAGAAGTACATGGAAGGAAAGTATACATTGTTGTCTCCTCTCTCCTGCAGCCTTCTGAAAGGCCTCATGGAATTGGGAAAGGGGGCTGATGGGGGACAGGGAATTGCACAAACTTAGGTTTGGGTCGACCCAAATTCAGACAATTCTCCCTTTCCTCCAGAAAGGGTTGTTTCAGAGATTCGCCTGAACATTTCAAGATAGTTGTAGAGAGGGGAGGAGACAGGAAACTTTCATTTCACAGTCTTCCTTAATTTATCTTAGGCTCTAAGCCCACGACTTCTGCTTTATTTTTCTGTCTATTTTGACTTTATTGTTGATGTCTTCATTTAAACATTCTTTTTGTATTTTTCCTCCATCATCATTTGTCCCCACCATCTAATTGCTAACACTGTGTTTGTTGTTCCATTAACTAACTGGATCCTCCCCCACAATAAAAAATCATTGCGATACGTAATTTGATAGCTGAGGAGAAAAGATGTGAACTGTTGATGGAACAGTTAAAATTTCCTTGGATTATTGCATTTAATCCCTTTTTTGCAAGTAGAAGAATGTATAATGCAAATTCGGGTATTCAAACAATTTTTGAACATCCAGTACATAATTCATAATTCATTGCTGATATGACTTGAGTAGGTGACCTATAGTTAGAAATGCATTTACATGAAAATGGGATACAGTTCTCTTAATTTTAGAAAGTAAAAAACTAGATAATAAGAGATTTGGATGGTGGGCACTTTACCAGCTTTTGCAGAGTTTTCTGAAACTACCTTTGCAGGCAGACTTTGTATGACAAAACGCAGCAAACAAAATGTGATGCACAGCATGACTCTTACGAGTTTAACAAATGCAGAATAACAGGACAGCACTTAATTGTGGACTTAGGATTTCTGCCCATCGCTATGAAAATTCCTTTATGGCTTTGTAATGTTCTGTGGGAAGGCCTTGTTTAGGAACACAAATATAGCACATAAGTTCTTTTGCTTTTCTTAAAAAAAGATCTCTCTTTAAAAAAAGGGCTGTGTTCCAATGTAAGACAATTATGTGTATGGCCTCTTTTGATATTTGGGGATATCTTTTCTACGCTGTAACTGATTTGTGTGTCCTTTGTATTGTGGTGGAATCATGCATACTAGAAACCTTGTTGTGTTGTCAAAATCCAATGACTTGCAGATCTTTTTTCCAGTAGGATTTCGGAAACGGTTTTCTGCTCAGCCAAACCTTCAAAGCAATAAGAGAATGGAAATTCAACTACTAAGGTGTAAATACCCACGTTCTTAGTGCAAGTATCATGTACATTTGTTCCATAAAATAACTGAAACGTACAATAGTTAGTGACAAGGCAGACTTAAATACAGGACGTGATTGTGACTTGAGTGAATGGACGAACGATCTGAAGCATCACTTTCGCAAAAATGAAAAATTGGTACATTGTGCCCCATTTTGAGAGAGACATGTTGTCCAGTTTTAAATACATAAATAAAAAGCCCAACCAATCCATGAAAAAGCCCAATGTGAATAGATTGACATCTTTTCATTTTAAAGTTAGCCAGTAGCGTAATCTGTCAATTCAATACAGTATTTAGTATAATTTATCCTGGTGCAATTTGTCTTAATTTTGCATTGGATACAGGATTGCAGCTCAGCCTGCAATTCTGTATCCATTTACCTGGGGATAAGCCTTATTCAACTCAGTGGGACTTACTTCTGAGTAGACCCATATAGGATTGCCCTCTTTTGCTTTAATTTCTACATGAGGCCTACTCTGTTGAGTTTTTAAAAGGATTTGCTCAAGTGGTCCGTCCCGCGCAGAATGTATAATTTACTGTTGAGGAGTTAGAAAACTCAATTTCTGCGGCAAACAGTAATTTAAGACTTAGAAGATGGCGGTGTTAAAAGTAGAAGCTCTTTTTAAATGCAAGCACTTTTAGAAACAATTGCCAGAAACAATAGGTAAGAAAATAAAAGCATTTAGGCTATCCTCCTAAACATGTTTACTTGGGGAGCAAGCCTCATTGAATACAGTGAGACTTGCTACGGAAATAAAACACGCATAGAATCGAACTGTTACTCAGGGGTTTCCTTCTCAGATGGTTTCCACTGATGACTTGACATTTGCCCTCTATCACTCTCCTTACAAGGTATTTTAGGCTCTGGCTAAATCTCAAAAGCCCTTTTTGGAAAACGAAAAGGGGTAAAATGGCCACAGCAGGAAACTGGGAAAGCTGTCTGAGAAAGACGGCTTTTAAACCAGTGGCTTGGCCACTATCACTCCTGACAGTGACTCTGTGCCTTCAGTAGCTAAGCAGAAATTCAAGTGGTGTAGCTGCTCCTACTGAATTTCTGCCTGTTATGAAACTGTTGAAGGAATGGCAGGGCCTCTTTTACAAAATGGGTGGCACCCCTTTTAGCAATCAGCAGTCCTTTATATACAGGATCTGAGGAGAAACAGGGAAAGGAGACATACCCACCTTCTTCCCATCAGGATTTTATTTTCCAAGTGGATTCATGTTTTAGCTCATAGGAAAAATATCCTATAAAAAACTACCCCTTCTGTGCTAAAATCTCTAAAATGTGTTCCTACTACAATTTAAGTGGTTGGCATGCAAGTTATTACAAACACATTAATGATGTTCCTGACCCCAAAACCAGTTTCATTCATGTGGGGAGCCCTGCATTTTGCCCTGTACGTATTTGAGAGTCCTCAGTACTGAATGTGTATGAATGGTCAATGCATGTCTCATTCTCTGAGCATTGTCTGTTTAAAAATAAAAAAAGATTCTGAAACCATGTCATATACACAGTGTCTGAAGTTACGTCATACCGATCTTTCATCTTCAGAATATTGTAGCGTGTGGATCTTTGTGTCTGATGAAATATGTGACTGTAAGCAGTGCATGGTTTGCTGACATTCGTATTCAAACCTCTCCTGAGCAAATTAAAAATATAAGCGAATTAAAAATATAAAACCTAATTTTACTTGTGCGTTCGTCTCTTTCTCTTGAAAAAGCAGGATTAAAATGTGTGGGAGCCCAGGGATATACAAACAACAGCTTGTCTTTCAATAATTTTTTGAAGTCCCTCGGTCGGCAAGGGGTATATTCTTAATGTAACAGAGAGGCTAAGGCAGGATCCTTACCCTCCTCTTCAGTATTTAGCCATAAACCCCCATCTCCTTTGTAATAAGAGATGAGAGAATTATGCATCTGCAGGGAAGTACAGTAAGCATTTGGGAAAGGGATGAAGAACCTATTTTGCTGGAAGCCGCCCAGAGTGGCTGGGGAAACACAGCCAGACGGGTAGGGTATAAATAAATTACCGGTACTACTACTACAACTGTGGCCCTCAAAATGCTGCTGGACTCCAACTCCCATCAGCCCTGCCAACATAGCCTATATCCAGGGATGATGGGAGTTGTAGTCTAGCAACTTCTCACATTTTTTATAAGTATCCCCAATCTATGCTGTTACTATTTTTTTATTTTTTTTTACATAAGTAAAAAGTGACCTTTCCCCATCTGGCATGGTGGTGTGCCTCGAGATTTTTTTCATGAAACAAGTGTGCCTTTGCCCAAAAAAGGTTGGGAAACACTGCCTTAAAACACTCCCTCAAAGGCCGGCCCAGGAGTTTTTGCAGCCTGAGGCAAAACGGAAAGTGCTGCCTTTTGGTGACAATGGCATTTCCCCTGCAGCCCCCACCCCTGCCATGCACAAGCGCACTGGCCCTATGCACCATCTTGCCACCTCTCCCCATAACCCATCTTGTCGGAGCACAGGTGTTCTGAGACTCCGGGCCAGCCACCATAGTGCTGGTACACCTGCGGGGGGCTGCAGAGGAGGCAGGTCTACCAAGGAGCACGCTGCAGCTGCCACCACAAGAGGGGATGTGATCCTTGGAGGCTGGATCTGCTGTCCTTCTGGCTCCTGCAGCCCAAGGCAGCTGTCTCACCTGGCCTCATGGGTGGGCCGGCCCTGTCTCCAATAATAATAATAATAATAATAATAATAATAATAATAATAATAATAATTTATTATTTATACCCCACCCATCTGGCTGGGCTTCCCCAGCCACTCTGGGCGGCTTCCAAAAAAAATATTAAAATACTGTAATACATTAAACATTAAAAGCTTCCCTAAACAGGGCTGCCTTCAGATGTCTTCTAAAAGTTTGGTAGTTGTTCTCTTTGACATCTGGTGGGAGGGTTTTCCACAGGGCGGGTGCCACTACTGAGAAGGCCCTCTGCCTGTTTCCCTGTAACTTGGCTTCTCGCAGTGAGGGAACCGCCAGAAGGCCCTCGGAGCTGGACCTCAGTGTCCAGGTAGAATGATGGGGGTGGAGATGCTCCTTCAGGTATACTGGACCGAGGCCGTTTAGGGCTTTAAAGGTCAGCACCAACACTTTGAATTGTGCTCGGAAACGTATTGGGAGCCATGTAGGTCTTTCAAGACCTGTGTTATGTGGTCTCGGCACCCGCTCCCAGTCACCAGTCTAGCTGCCGCGTTCTGGAGTAGTTGTAGTTTCCGGGTCACCTTCAAAGGTAGCCCCACGTAGAGCGCATTGCAGTAATCCAAGCAAGAGATAACTAGAGCATGCACCACTCTGGTGAGGCAAGTCCCAGGCAGACTGCTCCTGCTCTTTCTCCACTGCTAGACCTTGGCGGTTACCAGAAGATAACTGTATTTAAACTGTAACCTCGAAATAACACTAACCAGATGTTGTGACGTGGGGTTTGTGATTTCAGCTCTCTTGACATAATATGCTGGAGTCCGTTCTCTAGTAACACTTCTTTATTTAAGCAAACAAGACTGAGACTTGAGGAGGGAAGAGCTACATTTATAGGGACACGGAACTAGCTAGAAAGGATACATTTTGGAGGGAACAATATCAGGCAATCACAGTCCTGCCTTTTGGAGGAACCCAATAAGACAGAGGATCCAAATACAGCAGCTTAAATGAACCAATAGTAGCTGTACCCTCTGGAACCAAAAGGCAGTTACTTTACCCTAATGCAAATACAGACAATAATAATAATACAGATATAAAATCCTTTGACTCAATACACAACACCAGATACCTATGGGAAGCCCACATGTGAATTCCCAGCAGCTGACATTCAGAGGCATTATGGGCGACATTCCAACTAACTTTTACCCAGGACAGACCCACTGAAATCAATGGACGCAACTTAGTCAGGTTCATTCATTTCAATGTGTCTGAGTGAAAGTTAGTTGAATACCATCGATTGCCTCCAGCAGCAGAAGTAAAAGGTAAAGGTAAAGACAACATGCGGGACTGACCCAAAACATTCTTTAATGTGTGACATTTTAATGTATTTTTAATCTTTGTTGGAAGCCGCCCAGTGGCTGGGGAGACCCAGCCAGATGGGCGGGGTACAAATTATTATTATTATTATTATTATTATTATTATTATTATTATTATTATTATTATTATCTGCTGCCTGATACAAAAACAGGACATCAAGGTGCACAGATTATCCAAAACGGGCCAGGTTATTTTGGCACCCGAGGCAGAAAATCCCACCGCCATCTCTCGCTAGGAGTACAAACTGCAGCCGAGATAAATGACCAATCTGATACTGCACCCTTAAAACAGCTGCCTCGCCCTGGCTAACGCTAGCGGCGGCCCGGATGTCCCGCCCATGGATGGAAAAGGAGAGCCATCAGAGCGGCAAACCCTCTCCTCCAAAGAACTACCCTCGCCCAACCTTTAGGCGGCGCTCACAAGCTGCACGCGCTAGTGCGCAGGCGCTCAGGAGAAAGAGAGACGGAGGGAGGGGGAGCCCGTTGCTGAGATTGGGAATGAATACGGCAGTAGTAAATATAGAGGTGACACGCTGCGTTGAATCTGTGGGGACAATTTAAATCCGCCGCTGGGCCGTGCTCCTCCCTAGAGCCGCTCTAGAAATTGGCTATGGCAACTGAGACACCTCTAGGCGTGTAAACTCCGGACTAAAACAGATCACGTTGGCCAAAAAAGGGTTCGCGGTGTAGTATAGCTCTATTTTATTTCTATCTCTGCGGACTAAAAACTTTCCGAAGGAAAAGTGCGCAATGCGGTCTGGGAGCTGTATGCCTTCCCTTTCAGTGCCGCCGTTACCTAGAACGCCGAGGCGAAGGAGGAAGAACTACAAGTCCCAGCGAGCAGCGGGGACGGAAGTGATGGAACATGAGGTGTCTTTCTGGCGGAGGCGGTGTCCTGCGGCTGCCGAGGGAGAAGCATGGGCGACAGCGCGTGCAAGTGGCGGGCTTTGCCCAGCGGCCCCAGCCTCAGGAACCTCACGGCGCCGGGCTACGGGCAGCCCAAGGAGCGCCAGACGCCGGCCCTGCAGGACGTGGCGCGGGCGCACACCGAGTCCTTCAACTACGCCGTGGGAGAAGGGCTGCTGCGGGCCGTGCAGGTGGAGCCGGAGGGGCCGGAGGAGGGGAGGGAGCCGGGAGGGGGGAGTCAGGGAAAAGAAGCGGTGTAATATTACTACTAGTAGTACTACTAGTAGTAAAGTAGTAGTAGACCAGGAAAAGGGGATATGAGGGAAGTCAGTTGATATTTAATAATAATAATAATAATAAAGCTTTATTGGACTTTCTTAAGTAATGTTTCTGGATGGTTTTATTTGATTGTTTTAAATGTAGGTTGCACACAGCTTAGATTTATTTTATTAAAAATATAAATTAATAACAACAAGAAGAAAACAACAACAACAACATTATTATTATTGTTATTGTTATTATTAGGACAGGAAAAGGGGATGTGAGGGAAGTCAGTTGATATTTAATTATTATTATTAATGGGGTTCTGTTAGTATTTGTAATGTAATTTCCTCCGAAATGTATTTTACAAAGAATAAATGGTACTGGGGAAAGGAGGTGGCAATTGGCAGTTGGCATTTGATTAGCTATTTCATGAGATTTTATGTACCGCCTGATTGTAGAGGGGAAAGAACCTTCAGAGCAGTTTGCAAAGAAGGTAAAACCATTGCTTTAAAAAAGTATGGCTGTGTTTTAAAATATACAAAAAGGTTAAAACCAGCATAGTGTAGACTAAAGCAAATCAAAACTCATTCAGGCTTCTAGACATCTGGCTAAGGCGCGTCTAAGTAAGAATACCTTCAGCAGATACAGGAAAAAAATACAGTGAAGATGTCTGCAGGGAGCTGCAGTTTGGCATTAGCTGGTATAGAAGTGAATAATAATATTAATACTTTAAGGGTAGGAGGGATTTGTGGGTTTTAAAAAAACATGTAGTGCCTTTTTTGGGACCGACTAAAAAGTCACAAAGAAGTGAGCAGGTAAGGAAAAGAGCTATTTCTCAGAGGTTTGCTGCCTCTGAACCTGTAGAGATAGTATACAGACATTATGACCAGCAGTGGATTTGGTGGTGAGCTGTGATAACCTGTGGGTTTTCTTTTTCTCTCTCTCTCTCTCACTTTTTAAAGGCCATCCCACCTTTGGAATTTCTTTTCAAGAATGATCAGATCACTTTGGCCATTGTGGGGGCCACTATCAACCCTCCTATGGTACCAAAAGGAAGTATATGTAACGAGCTGAAAGTTTACCCAGCAGAATGCAGGGGGCGCAAAAGCACCTACCGCGGAAGAATAACCGTAAGTAACAAACGTAAAGGAATGATGTGTAAAGGAACGTGGCAGAATCATGTGAACTTTAGAAATCCAAGGTGTGTAGAAACGTGGCGCTACAATATTTTGGAGATTTATACACTCCCAGCTGGCGTATAAGGTGAACTGTTAAGACAGCATGTGGGTGTTACAACTCCTAATAATTTGTCAGCTACCAGTTCCATTAAGAACAGTTTGCAAGCATGGTGATAGGTGGGTTTGCTCATGTAAGCCAACCCATGGTTTGTCTCAAGCAGAGAGATGGGAAGAGAGCATGCAAGGCTACAAGTTAAGCATTAATATAGTTTGATTGTGATTAGAAAAACAGGCAGTGCTTCATTTGTA